GTTACCCGGGAGGGAGAGCGGAGGTCGGGGAGCCGGGGGCTCGGACTTCCTCCGGGAGTAGCCGCTGGGTGTTTCTGCCGTTCGTCCACCGAGAGGGAAACCGTCCGTTCTGCCAGGTGCGGTGTCCGTCCAGCCCGCACGCTCCCGATGAAAGCCGGGCTCCCGGTTCCTCCGGCGCCCGCGCCCGCCGGGGTTACCCAGCGCGCCGCCCTCCCTCCCCGGCCGCGCTCCCGTCCCGAGTGCCACCCGCACCCCGCACACCCAGAACGGGACGCCAGAGCAAGCCTGCCCGCGCGGCCCCGTGCCCGCGGAGCCGCCGCCGGGGAACCCGCCCAGCTCCCCCGCCCGCCTTTTGTTAGGGTTTCTTTCTGAAAGCGACCCCCGGACCCGCTTGGCCGGCCGTCACCGCGCCCAGGCTGCGGAGCACCCTGGCACCGTTTGCTTGGAGGTCCGAGCAGAGGCAGGAATCCATAGTATCCACAGAATTTCAGATTCGGTGTGTGGAACAGAGTACAATTTTTTTTTTAATTTAAGCTTACAGCTTACTTGACGTATTTCCTTTTCCAGGAAAGAATGTTAATTTCTTTATGGGAGTTCTTCTATGGGCACTTTTTTCGATTTTGGATGAAATGGCTCTTACGACAGATGACTGGAAAGTGTGAATTACAGCGCATTTTTGATACCTGTGTGGGTGCACAGAGGACACACAGGATAGGTAATGTTACAACAGAAATACCTAAAACTGCTAAAAATTTAACTCAGAACGAATATCTTTTCTCACTTCCCACAGGCAGAGTGGATTCCTTATATATTCTGGACAAGTCACTTAAACTGAGTTTCATAAACTTGGTAATCTTTGAGTCTCTGTATTTCTAAAGCTACATTATAGATAAAGAAAAGAACAAAAACCTGACTACAAAGTCCGTATCTGTGCAAAGAAGAATCTAGTCTAGGTTCTTCCATATATCAGTAGTTCTTCAGATTATAGATTAAATTGTTCTAGAGAAAAAAAATTGAGACTACTATATCCCTTTGAAAACTACAAATTAATATAGACTAGTGCTGGAAGGAGTGTCATGGTCTAGATTCAGTTTTATACTTCATCCATCTCTTAATTTCATACCCATTAATCCCATATGGGATTAATGCCCCTTGTGAAGATTAAGACTCCAAATCTGCAGTCGGGTCCTATTACTTGTAGCCAGCTGGTTACTGCTCTCTTGAAATGTGACGTGTCTGAGATGCACTGTGCTATAAGGTACACACTGGGATTCAAAGCCTTTATATAAGAAAAGAAGGTCAAAAGCTTGGTTACTCAGGAAACTGATAATCTAAGTCACCTAGGCAAAAGTCCCAGAGAGTCTTTTCTCCAATTAACTAGCAAAATGCTAGACTGGAGATATGGCCCAAGTTGAAGAGCTCCAGCCATGAATGGGGAGGAAAAAAACCTAGTGAAAATTCAGGACCCTGAGTTCAACTCCTGGTACACCAAAAAATTGTAAAAATGTCTTATTAATAGCTACTTATATGCAGTGCATGTTCTCATTGATTATAAATGATGGTATTTTGGGCTTGTTAAGTTTATTAAAATTAATGTTGTGTGTTTCTTTTTAATGCAGCAGTAGAGAGTTTATAATCCAGATGTGGCTTGTATTTTCACCTTCATTCTAGTTTTAACAATCCTACTCTCTTGCCTTCTAAAATATGCCAATTTTTCAATACTTATTCCCTAAATTAGACCATAGATGGGTGAGAAATGTGTTGGGCATCTCTCTTTTTTTGGCCAGGATAAGGAGGACCTGGAAACCACCCCTGCAGCTCATGATATTATGTTAAGTGGAAAATCATGACTTGTGTTATCCAGATGAGAAATGAGAGGACGGTATTCTGCATGACTGGTGTGTAACTGGTCTAATGACAAGCTGCCTCCGGTGATGGGTGATTGAGGTTTACTTACTTCCCTAGTTCTTACAGCCTAGAGCTGACTTAAATTATACCCTGCTCTTTTGACTTGCCCTTTTGACTGCTCAGAACAAAGTACTTTTTGATAAGAAATCTCTGCAGGCTGCTTGGTATGTGTATTGTAATGTGGGGAAAGAACTTACGACAAAGCTTTACTTTGGGACAAAAACATTCTTCTTGGATTGTTCAAATTGCCTACAAAAAGGAACTTATTATTGTGTGTGCCAGTCAAAATTTTTACTAGACTAGTGAAAATGTGCTTGTCATTCTTGAAGCCAAAAGTGGAGAAGTTATCCTGTTCTTTAGGTTTAGGATAGTCACATAATCTAGTCTTCGTCCCTTTGTTCTTTTTTTTTTTTTGGTCGTGGGGCTTGACCTCTGGGCCTGGCTGCTGTCCCTCAGCTCTTCAGCTCAAGGCTAGCGCTCTACCACTTGATCTGCAGCACCGCCACCTCCTGTTCTTTTGTTCTTGTACTATTGCCAGTGCCTTAAATCTCAACACTACTGACAGCTTTCAGTGGAAGGGAACATAGTAGACAGCACTCACTGTAGTCTTCAGATGAATATCTGGGACCTGAGCTATTCTTACACTTTGGGGACTTCACTGAAACACAGGATTCTGAGGAAACTAGGTTGGTGTCACCTGTTTGGCTTGTTATGTTATGGTTAAGATCTTTTGAATTACACATTCTTTTGTATACTGTACACTATAATATAGAATTTTAAAGTGTTTGCCATGTGATTCATATAGAAATTGTATCTTCTCCAACTTTGAAAGTGACTTAAAAGTATTTTATTATTTTATAGTGTGTTTATGGAATAATTTGAAAACTGCACGTAAATGGTAATGTTCTTTCTTTTTTTATTATTTCAGAAAATTCCTTGACATACTCCAAGAATAAGGTAAGAAAGACCCTACTAATTCTCAGAAACTTAGTTTTAGTTGTTGTTAAAAAAAAAGGCTTTAAGTTTAAAATTATTTTTAGTGTCCTGCCTAGTGATTTTGCTATAAAGAAAACTTAAGTGAGATTTTCTCTCTCTAGAAATAATTCTCAAAACACATGTGTGTTTATGTGTGTGTATGTATATATGTGTCTGTATGTATGTGCTTGTGTGTATATGTGTGTGTATGTGTGTGTGTTTCATACACAGAGGTTTTTGAAGAACTGGAGGTGTGGCTCAAGTGATAGACTATCAGCTGTGAGCCAAAAGCCAAGCAGGAGGGAGAAGCCCTGAGTTCAAGCCCCAGTACCAGCACGGAGGTTAAATTGGGTTAAATTAGGAGTTAAAAGGCCTTTTTTTTTTCAGCTATAAGGGCTTCTTCTCATTCAGCTTTCTTCCATACAAACAGATTTTACAGAAAGCAACTCGGGTTGCTGAGAGTGAAGTGGACAGATGTGTTAAGGATATAATGAAGGTGAAGAATATTAACCCTGAGAAGGACACAAGGTGTGTTGTTCTCTCATTTTCCTTCTTGGTTGAGCATTTATAACCTGTGGGGTCTGGGCTCACATGCAGCTGTGAGCTCCAGAGCTGATCAGCTTCACCCTTAACCCAGCGGATGAGCAGCCAAGGTCTGGGCAGCGAGGGAGGTCCCAAGCAGTGAGTGACAGATGCAGAGCTGAAGCCTGGCTCCAGGTTCCCAGGCCCTCACTGTTCCTAATCTGCCTTCTGCCTTGGTCAAGGTAGCAGGCCATCCCTCTCCCAAGGTTAAATAACTTTGGCCTTCAGAGTTGAGTTTTCATGTTTTCCTCCTGTGAAGTCTTCCTCCAGTGTGGGCCTTGCTCAGTCCTCCCACGGAGCTCTCTGTCCAGCCTTAGACCTCAGTGCTGCAGTGGGCTCAGTAGCCCACTACAGGAGGTGGCAGATCATTGCAGGTTGGTTTACTGTCTAGCATCAAGGCTGTTCTGACAGATTTAGAGTTGTCTTCTGTCTTTTTACAAGCTCCACTATCAGATAAGTGTTTAAGATTAAAGCAAAGCTGGTAGAGGAAAGAAGTTAGGAAAGTGAATCATTTAAGCAAGAAATGGCTAAGCCATGAATAAAGCAGGTGATTAGTGACTTGAGAATTGCTTTCAGGGACATTTCAGAGATTAGAGATTGGCTTAGGGACCTTCTGATGTATGGCGTTGACAGGGAAGGTGGATCGGAACTTGGAGTGCTCTGGCTTGGGGAACTACTGGCTCGTGAAGTCATTAATAGATTTAGAGGCTCACTTTAGAAAGAGGTGTTTTCTTCAGGAGAGATAGGGTGTTGGGCAAAGAGACGACCTGTTGTGGACTACATGGAAGTGAGGTGTGTCAGTGTCCCCTGGCATGAAGATCTGGGAATGCTTGGACTGCCCAGAGGAAAGGCAAGAGAGGACAGAGCCTTGCCGTCACCAGGTTGGCCGTTCCTGCCACAGCTTGGTGTCTTTGTAGGCCTGTCTTATGTCTTAGGCAATGCTATGCAGTGTGTGCTATTTAAGGAGGCTCTTGATGCCTCCCAAGAGCCAGGATGTGCTTTCTAAGTAGACATAGGAGCCACAAACTGTGCCAGACATTACAATGATAAGAAGGTCTGATTAAAAAATAATAATAATCATTTCATCATTTCAGCTTTAAAATCTGCATGAGAGCATGCTTACTGCAGATAACAGGGTATAAACAGCTCTATTTGGATGTAGAAAATGTGAGGAAAAGGCCGTATGATTCTGATAATGCACACCATGAGAAGCTACTCCTCAAGGTAAATTATTATTTTCTGTATTTAAGTGATTGAACACTGGAGAAATTAGTCTTGACCTGAGTACAGTCTAGGAACATTCCAGAGGCTTAGTTAAACTTTCTGGTTTCTTTGCTTCTTGGAAATTTTTCTCATACTTGATTTCATGAATGTGAACAATTTTTAGCCAGTTTTTATGACTTATTGATAAATATCATTAAAACATATTCAAATTTCATTTTAATGCTTATAATCCTAAAGTTGGTTATAAATCCATAAAGAACATTCTTTTCAACCAAAAAATGTGAGTCCACAGCCTCAGATTTCCCTCCAGTTTTTATATAAATTATACTGTGAGCTTGGTATATCTCGATGCTCTGAAATCTTTTGGGATTCACAGAATGTTAATTGCCAAATAATGCCATGATAGATTAAACATTAAGATAAATAAAGATTTTTCAGAACTTTCACTTTTTCTTCATGCTTAGTACTGTGTTCTTAAGCAAGCAGTTTAGCAATTCTAGCATAAGGGTTTTAATTATGAATAAAGACATTATTTTAGATTTCTGGGTATTACTTGCTACCTTTTCAAAACCTAAAAGTCATTTTCATTGGAATAAATCTGCTACAGTACTTAAGATGATTAAAGTTCTTAAACTATTTTTTTGTTGAATTTATAATTTGTCTACAAAACTTCAGTTGAAAGTAATATATATATATATATGTGATTAAGTTATGAGAAAAAAATTATCTTGGCAAATTAATACCACCAGTATTATTTGTAACGTGCAAGCATATTCTTACAGCTCTGGAATCTTCTGATGCCCACGAGTAAGTTGAAGTCAAGAATCTCCAAGCAGTGGGCTGACATTGGTTTCCAGGGTGACGATCCCAAAACTGACTTCAGAGGCATGGGCATCCTGGGCTTGATCAACCTGGTGTAAGTGGAGTAGACGCTCTCTTCTCCCAGTGATTCCACACCATCTCCCATCCAGCGAAATTCTTGAAAGCATTGTTTCAGACTATCTTGGGTTTAATAACTGCAGGGCCAGTGTTTACTGACATGCTGACCATAATGTGAAAACCTCAGAACTGCATATGTGTGTGTGTGAGAGAGAGAGAGACACACACACACACACACACACACACACACAGAGAAAGAGAGATTGTCTTCTTCCTTCTGGCCTCCTTTTAAAAGAATTTTGTGTCCTCTCTGGTCTCTCATTCCATTTGGAGAAATCAGAACAGATAGAAGGAGGAAGTCTCTTTCTGTTCTCCACCTGTGCTAACAAGTGATGTAAATCCCTGACCTAGAGCCTGAGTGGACTCCATCTCTTTTTATTTGATACTGTTAGCTCAGGCTGGCCTTAATTAAACTCATGATCCTTCTGCCTCAGTCTTCTGAGTGCTGGGATTACAGGCATGAACCACCATACCCAAGGCAGATTGACTGCTTTGAGTAGTTTTATTGCTGATAAGGAGTTGTGTGCAGAAAGGAGTGAAATTCATAGACTGCTTTGTTAAATCACAACTGAAAGATAACAATTTTTTTTTTAAGTGTAACAGCCTACTAAGGGCATTTTAGAGTCAACTCAGGGTTAAAGTAGAAAACTTGAGAGTATGTAGGAGAGTCTTAAACTAAGCAGGACTCTGTTGATTGTGGATTTATAGATTAATTTGAGGATCAAAGAAACTAGGTATTTTGTTAAAATTTTATTGTACCTGTGTACATACTACCACATGTGAGGTGAGCCCAAAGTTTGCCCGGTTTTTACAAACTCAAAAGTTTACACTGATGTACACCAAAAGGATATATGTGAGCCTACAAACAGGTGGCTTTTTGTTTTTTTTCTTGTACCTGCTAATACTTTGGCTTTACTGCCGGTGTATTAACTGGACTGTTGGCCAAGTAGGGGGTTTGGGGGGCTTGGGGTGCAAAAGAAGGATCCTGGCTTTCTTTTGAGTGCACTGAAAACGGTATGAGCCGAAGCAGACTTGCTGGCAGTACTAGGCGCAGGCTGAGGTGAGAGGCAGGGCACCCTAATACGTGCGTTTTGACCGTTTTATACAGATAGAATAAACAGTGCAGAGCATGAACTCTGTAGAGGTGGTGTTTTTTTGTTTTTTGTTTTTTTTTTAAACAGATTGGAAGTCTGTTTAGGCAGTTTTGTAGGTAAGGCAAGTCTTGCCTAGAGCCTATGGTCGTGCTGAACAGGCTAGATCCACCAGGTTAAATACTGACCCAGGACATCTTGTGAGTCACACAAGTGCCTGAGGTGGAGGTGGGTGGAGCCCGAGAGCCAGGGCTATCCTCCTCACAGTGCCCCCCTGCTCTGGTGTCTGAAGCTGGGGCCTGCTGCCTTTTCATGATTGTCTCTAAACACTTGTAGGTATTTCAGTGAGAAGTACACCAAGGAGGCTCATCAGATTCTTTCCCGCGCAAACCATCCAAAATTAGGGTAAGCTGCATACAGGTTAAAGAAACTCGTCTCTGGCATTTAAGATAACCATGGTTTAAAGGTCTTTCACGGTATTTCTATTGATATGCTTTTACTAATTTCTAATGGATATGCTTTACTGTGTAAGGTAGTTACATGACACATTATTTTTAAAGTAGATCATGATCACAAGTGAATTTTACATTTATTTCTATAAATCTTTGTCATAAGAGATAGTTTATAAAATGGAGATTTTTTTTCTCCAGGAATACACTTGAAATTTGGAATAGAAAATAGTTTTGAAACAGCAAAATGACAAATAGCTTCAGAATTATAAAGTGAAATGCAAATTGAAGTCAAATTACTAGCTCTATCATTATGTTTATGTTCTGATGATCCTGAAAAATCATAATAATGTTAGATGTTAGAAATTAATACGTTGGGAAGGGAAAAGAAAATGTCAGTATATCAATGAGATTTGGTGAATGTAGTTTTCTTTTTATGTGTCATATAAACAAATTATTTTTTTTGTTTCTTAGCTTCTATCTAGAAGCTTTAGGGAAAAAAGTGTTTTGGATCCATCCTTTTTTTTTTTAATATTATGTAGAGGTTATTGTAAAATCCATATTAAACTTCCTTCACTTTTTCCCAATTCCTTGTCTAACTTTAACTTTATTTTGTGAGCTTTTTGGCTAGCTGGTATAACTGGTAATGTTTCTGACATAGGTATTCTTATGCAATAGTTGGAATCAATCTTACAGAGATGGCTTATAGCTTACTGAAGAGCGAAGCATTGAAGTTTCATCTCTACAACTTTGTTCCTGGTATGCCAACAATGGAACACTTCCATCAGTTTTACTGTGAGTATTACAACAAGCTAATACTAGATTTCACTAGAGAATTGTCAAACCGTAAGGAAGGCATAATGGATTTCCTCTACTATCTCTACCAACAGAGAAAGCTTCATACTTATATGTACTATGTAAGATCTTTGAAGGCTAAGAAAATAATAGTACATGGGTCTCTAAGCGTATTTTTTACTTCACTCTATATTTACTCATAAAAAGGAATTTGATAAGGCAAGTACTACGTGTACAGATTTAGCAGTCATACAGATTTTCTGTAGACATTCACTTCCTAGCCTCCTACAAAATGAATTTTCTCTTTTTAAATCTATAATGAGTGCTCTGGAATCAAAGGTGTAGACCTTTGAAGATTATTTTTCTTACTTGATTTTTTTTTATTTTTTTTTAAATTCGGAAATTTACAGTATTGTGGAATAATGATGCTCATTTAAAGTCACAAGTTCATTCTAACTTTCCTGGAGCAAATTGTCTATCACAGTCTGTAATATATAACGGTGCTCACATGTTATATACCATATATGTGATCAGCAGCATGGTTGTTACTTGATTTTTTGTTTTGTTTTGGTTGGTTGTGGGGCCTGAACTCTGGGCCTGGGCGCTGTCCTTCAGCTCTTCAGCTCAAGGCCAGCTCTCTACCACTTGAGCCACAGCGCCACTTCTAGCTTTTTCTGCTTATGTGGTGCTGAGGAATCGGACCCAGGGCCTCATGCATGCAAGGCAAGCGCTCTACCTCTGAGCCACCGTCCCAGCCCCTACGACTTGACTTTTTAATATTTTTTAATTAAACAGTTGCACAGAGTTTTCAGTGTAGACCCGAATGCCGGGTGTCTTGGTCACCACCCCTCGCGTCGTCCTCCCCGCCGTCCGTGCCTCAGCGGACGTAGTGCAGTTTTTATATAATGTACATTGAATAGAATGTCTGTATTTTTGTTACTTTGTAAGAAAAAATCATTTTGGACTTCACCTGCTGTTTTTCAAGGCCAGGTTTTCTGTAGCAGGCTGGGCCCACACAGTTGTTACTGTCACTAACACGTATGGGGGCAGCGGTGGGATAGTGAGGGTTTGTTGAATCAGTTCACTCTCTGAAGCTGTCGCGAGCAGTGAGTTTGCATGTCACCGAGCCTCACGCTCTACTTTCCTTCATCTTTTTGTGTTTCTGGAACGTTACTGCGTGTTGTGGGGATATGGCAAACTTCACCAATGCGTGGTTGTATCGTAACTTCAGCCTGTGTCAAAGGTGTCCGTGTCACAGTCCGCCATCGCCCTCCCGCCTTTACCCCTTCATTCCCATCTACATCCTCAGTCTCCCTTCCTCTGTCTGCGCCTCTCCCTCCCATGTGGAACTACATGGTAGCTTCCATCTTTGTTATTTGATTACTGTAGTAACCTTTTAACTCATCCTCTGTGTGTCGAAACTCTTCAATTGTCCACACAGGATGTCGGGTTATTTAAAATGAAAATCTAGCCATTTCACTCACAGAGTTCTTCAGAGGATCCTCATTCATAAACCCTGTGTGATCTGAGCCGTGGTATCCTTCCAGACTTAGCTTTGGCCATACACACACAGACACACACACACACAACACGCACACCACATGCGTGCATGCACTTACATACACTCAGAGTCTACAGTCATGGCAGTCTTCTTGACTGGGCTGTTGCAGGTCTCGCACACCCATTAGCCAGCACTCCAGAGGCTGAGGCAAGAGGGCTCCAGTAAAAGCCCAGCCTGGGATCACAGGGATACATAGTAGTCTCAAAAAGCAGAACTAAAAGAATCCACGGATGAATGAAATGAATGTAAACACAGATAAATCTGAGGAAATAAACCAGAACTGGCTAGGAATGTGCCAGTGTCTCTCCCTGCAAGTGCATACGAGGCAGCTCTGGACAGCTGTCGCATTTCCCCCTTCTGTCCACAATGTGTATTAATTTCCAAAGTTTTTGCTGTATTAGAGATGGAACTGAGGGAGAGCCCCTGCTCAGTTGTACATTTGTGAGTAATTTCTGTCCATATACGGTTGTATGAATCTAGGCCCCAAATGCATTTTCAATCAAAGATAGAAAATAGTATTTAAAAATAATAAGACTGCTATCTTTAGTCCATCTTTTAGAGCTGAGAAGCAAATGGAATTTTTCCATAGGCTTCATTGATTTTCTTACATTTCCTACTTGTCAAAAATCTGGTTTAGCATATACCAAAAGATCAATCTGAAATCTTTATCAAATTGAATTTTTGAAGCTGTATGTAGTCTTGGAATGGGCTAGTTTCTAACTATAGTGTTTACATTGTGACCAATCTTACTGAAATGGAATTTTCTTTTTTTAAGTTTTTCTCTGAAACTGGGCAGGTGCAGTTTTGTAAAGTCACTGGTGCTGAGAAAAGTCATTGAAAACAGCAAGTTCCTAATACTTTTAATGCTATTTTGATGATTGCATCCTAATATGGAATGTAAGGGGGTAGTTACTTGTAAAACTGAGTGGTTTATAATTTTATTAATGAGAGTGACATGTTTTTTCTTTTATTGCAGGTTATCTTGTCTATGAATTTGACAAGTTTTGGTTTGAAGAAGAACCAGAAAGCATTATGTATTTCAACCTATATAGAGAGAAGTTTCACGAAAAGATTAAAAGACTGTTAATGGATTGCAATGTAGTACTTACTTTAAAAATATAAACCATCCATAGAAGCTTCTATTTCTACCACATTTTTGCACACACAACAGAATTTATACGTTGTAATAGAAATTATCTGATCAATTACACTCTTATATATAATTTCCTACAAAAATTCTTCAGAAATTCTATTTAAGAAAGCTAGTGGACAATCAGTGTATGTTTACAGTTTATGTTGATACACTGCTCTCCAAAGGTACCTTATCCTTCCAAAGACCCCTCTGTAGGGTCTTACCACTACAGTCGGGAACTTAGGACTTAGCCCATTCATGTCAAAGTATAAATCAGGTATTTGTCACTTGGTTGATGAAATTGTGTACAAATCTGTTTTCATCTTTTTGATGTGCGATAGCTATCAAGTTGAGATGTTTTTCAGTGCTCTTCAAGGATTTTAGGTTTGGGTCCAGAAATACATGTTTTTTCATTGGCTTTGCATTCTTTGTGCTTCTGGGCCGATTAGCACCAGGTCCTCCTCTGTGGCATCCTTTGTTTCCATCCCAGCCCCTCATCACTGGTAGCAACCAGAGTCTGGAGATGGCCAGGAGCGGGGAGGGGAGACCGTGGGAATAACGGCCTCTCTTTTGGTTTCTCTGATTACTTAGGAGAAATGAGTGAATGACAGGATTGGTGACCATCTTATTTGTATTAGAATAACATGCTTTAAAGTATAACAGTGTTTCCCTAAGACTTTGTTAATAAGTTCTGTGTTTGCATTTTTTCAGTTAAGAACCTTAGTGCTTTGCTGTGAGAACCTATCTGTGTGTTTATGAAAAGCAAATGATATTGCCAAGAAAAATCTCATTTTTTTTTCAAAAGAAAGTTTGTTTTGAGAAGCAAAAGGAAAGCTTCGATAAGCCTTGGTTAAGCATCCTAGGTGTATTGACTGCCAGTAACTTGGCTTTTGACTTCCTGGTGTTTCTGGAAATGACTTTGGACCTGAACTGAATGGGGTTGTTAACAGCTTGAGGATGCTGACTGTGCGTTTTGTAGAGCGTTGTTCTCCTCAGGGCTCAGGAGGTAGCATGTGCTGTGATGAGAGCCTCATAGGATGAGTTCTTGGTGTGCTGTGGACATTTCTCCTCATCGCCAGTCGGCCTCGAAGAACTTAAAGATAAGAAAGCTCATCCAGTGGCTGAGGTCTCCTTACAGAAACCTGGTTTACATGGTAACTTAAACAATGTTTGCACATTGTTTCATGGGATGTTTGTCCATCAGGCGTGACAGGCAGGATTCATACTTTGTTTCTGTTGCTCATAGCTGTTGAAGAGCTTCAGTCTCCAGACTTGTCAGAGACAAGAGAGAGCAAACGTCCAGTGGGAAACCCACAGATGCAGTGTTACATAGCACATACCTTGAAGTGCATGGATTAAAATTTTTTCCTCTGTAAGATGAAAGTATTTTTAAAACTTGGTTCATTTTATTATAATGGTAGTGATTTAGCTTTCCACTGTTACAGGAATGTAATACTTGATGTCCCGTGGGGAACTTCTCAACCTTGGTAACATATTTACTAACAAAAAATATTCTGGTGCTTTCTCTCTCATCTAGCTAGAGTTTCAGGATGTGTAGCAAAATCCAAGCCAGATCAGGCATTAACTATGGAAGTTCATTGTATAAGGTGTTAGTAGTCCATGGAAAGCAATGTTGTTTGTCTTTAATTTAGTGCTAAAAATACTTATGTTTAGTTTTTGATCTTTGAATAGCTGAGATCTTGAAGTAATTTAAATCTTTATTAGTCTGCATAATAAAAGTGCTTGAAGTACAGAAGGGTTCTGCTCAAATAAGTTTTTCCCCTTTCAGAGATGGGAGGGGAAAAAACCAATTCTAATGATGATCAGAAAATATCATAAGGTTTTCTCAGTAATATGCTTCATTAAATCCACCTATTTGTACATTACAGACATTGTTTGGTTTTGCTCAGAGTAATCATTAACCATTTATAGAGAATTTGATCTGAAATCCACCAACAGATTTAGAAATTCGGACATCCACAAGGCAAGCCGTCACTAGCTGTGCACAGAGTGTGACAGAATTCTGACTCAGGTGATGCTGATAGGCAGAAAAGGAATAATGGTGTCACTATTGTTCATGCCATCCTTATTCTACCTTGTATGTCAGATTCTTACGTCATTGTGAAATCCATATTTAGGATCTTTCTGTCATTAGTAAAATGTCAGGGTAGTAAGAGTATGATGGGATTAAAGTCGCAGGATAATGACATTTGCATTAGCATCCAGGAAGTAGAGTCAGTATGGAAGGAGACACCATATGTGCAGCTTGCAGAAATGGCACCAGACAGGAAAGCTCTAAAAGCCCGACCATGTTTCCTAAGACAATCATTAAAGATTTGGGAGAAATCGGGTTGTATCTGTGACCCCCTTGTGAATAAATGTGGAACTATAGCTACACATTAAATCTGTGTCTTCAACTGGCACTATTTATACTTCCAAAATCAGAAGCTTTCTTAAAAATACCCATCCTGATCTTTTTCTACTTTTAAGAGCTACTTGGATTTATATGTATTTTTCTATGTGAAAATGGAGGAACTCCTTATTGTTATTCCAGTGCTCACAAAATTGTTCATCTACTGTCTGACTTCTCTGAGAACATTCAGTGGGATAGAATTGGTCAGAGACTCGCTCAGAGGCTGAGCCTCATCTGAGTGGTGGAGGGTGGCTTATTTCTAGAACAGGAAAGATGGCGGTGCCGGGCACAGGAGAGGAAGGCTGGCTGGGATGACGACAGTGTTATTATCCTTGGAACAGTAGAAGCCAGCAGGTAACTTCTCACAGTAAATACTCACCTTACTTCTCTGTGAACAAGACCAGGGAAACTTTAATTTCCTTTTTTTTTTTAAATCTGAACCTCTCCACACAACAATTTTTAGATGAAAGTTAATGGAATTGTTAGTATACCGAGGGAAACCATGAGTTTTTTTTTTTTTTTTTTCTGTCTTCGGCTTCTGATGAGAAAAGTTAAAAATGTATAGGTAAGACCCAGCTGCCGCATTCCTGCTAGAGGGCAGTGCTGTGTTTTTCTTACAAGTATTTCAATATTTAAGCAGTAGTGTTCCCTGGAGGAAAATTTCTTGCCCAGTTGGCAACTTAAATTAACTTTTTGTCTACTTTGGATAAATCAGTTGAGATTTAAGTAAACGTCGTAGTGTGAAGTGTGATGTCATTTTGTTTGTGATGTTAAGTGAGCAAATAAAAAGGTTAAACTTGTAAGCCTTTCTGTCTTTCTGTCCTCCCCACACCTTCTTAAGTCACTTAGTTTCATTTTCTGTCGTGCTGCTGCAGAGGAATTAGAATATACAGAAATCATTTGGCTTCAGTGGAAGGATGCGAAGATTTACTTCATCCCTGACAGATCATGTGACTAAACTAGCCACAGCCACAAGTCTCATGCCACAAGAGGACAACCGTGCAGCACAGCTTCACGTGCACCCCACCCACCCCACTCCCCGACATAACAGCCCGGGCTTGCTGTCGGGCAGTTTCATGGTCTCACTTTATTCCTCACCATCAAATCCAGGCGTGCACCCTAAAAGACGACCTTAAAAGGTATTAGCAATACTTTATTGAATATATGAACTGAAAACTGGTTAATAAATAAAAGGAAATGGTAATATTTGCTTCCGTTTTCCAACAGTTGGAGTGATAATGAATGTGCCTCCTATTCAGTCACACAATTTTATTCCCATATAGTCAATCGAATGCAGTGACTAATCTGGGCGTTGCAGGGTGAGCTCCAGTGGGGTTTGTCCACAGGGTGGTTTTCCCTGGGGAGGCAGCGCAGGGCTTCCTGGGTGCTGCAGGCCCCGGTCTGCCTAGGTGGTGCAGTCCACAGTCTGCCTGGACTTGGTCAGCTCTCGTTTGAGCTGCTCGAAGCACACAAACATAATGACGTTCCAGGATGCCAGTCGCAGGAAGGAAGGCATGAATCTAGAAAAGCACATGGCGCCATCATGAGTGTCTTTGGAATGCACTGTGTGTGTGTGTGTGCGCGCATGTGTGCACATGCTCTGGTTCTGGGGCTTAATTAATCTCAGATCCTGGGTTCTATGCCTGAGCTTTTGCTCAAAGCTAGTGTTCTACCACTTGAGCCAGAGCATCCTTAGATCTCAGTATCCTAGGATTACAGGTGTGAACATGTTGCCTAGCCAGCCATCTGGCCATTTGGAATTCTTGAAGCTCTTCCTTTACAAGCATTTTACGTTTCTCATCTTGCCATTTAAATGAAGTATTTTTCATTTATCCTCTGCCCCAAATAGTGTCCAGTCGGTGTCCTAGACTGCTTCAAAATAACAAACCCTGGCAATCCTGTTTACCACATTTGCCTCAATTGAGATGATCACAGTTCCCAGCCAGCCTGAGCAAAAAAGGAGTAAGTGAGAACCCACCAGGACGGGCACGGTGGTGACTATCTATAGTCTCGGACACCTAGGAGGTAGAGGTGAGAGGATCTGAGGTCAGCCGGAGCAAAAACAGGAAACCCTATCTAAAAGCCAAAATAGGGTGGGGCCATATGGAGCCCCATCACACTTGTCTTTTTGTGTAAGAGTTATTTTGTTTGGCATAATGTTTTCAAGATTAATCCATAGTGTCATAGGTCCCCTAATTTGAAAAAAAATTACTATTCAGTGATTAAGAACATATGTGTTGGAATGGTAACCCCTTTGTACAACTACAATAAAAAAAGAACTGATATATCCATTTCCCGTTAACTTTATAATGTGTATCATTTACATTCATATAAGTAAGTGCTAGAGGCATGGCTCAAGATGTAATGCATCTGCCCTAGCCAAGTGCCAGACCCAGTTCAAACCCCAGTACTGCTGACACACACATACCTACTTCCATGATATATATCTGATACACACACACACACACACACACACACACACATATATATATATATATATATATATAGTAAGTGCTTGGAGCTTTTTGTATGATGCATATGGTGCATTTGTGCCTATTTTATAAGGTCTGAAGCACTGCCTTACAATTTTAAAGGGGCTCGGAATTTTGCTATTTTGCTACTAGTCTAATCCTTGCTCACACTGTATTTTCTCAGGAAGGTAGTTGCAGTACAATAGAATATTTCATTATGGAAAATTCCATCTGTTGCCCAATACAGTCTATCAGTCTGCTAGACCCGTAGCAAGTTCTGTATCATTTTTCTAGGTCAGCAACAATGACTTTTTCTAGTTTTGCTTTAATAGAATTTTTGAAAAGGAGACATCCCGGTAGCAGAGAGCCACCCTGGGTTCAAACCCGGCGCTCCCGACACAAAAACTAACTGCAATTTTTAAAAGGCTGTCAAAATAGGAAAATCAAATCTTTTTTCCTCTCACCTCCCTCTGGTCTAGAGTTGTACCTCACGACAGAGTATGTTCAAATTTCCAGTCTTGGGGAAGGGCCCTGATGTTTAAGAAGCTCTGGACAAGGCTAGCTAGTGTGTCTCTCCCAGCTTTTTACTTCCTGACACAGGAATTGGTGGACTGGAGCCACCTGTGCTGAAGTGCGTCAAGGGTTAAGTGAGGTTGGTAAGCGACATGCCAACTGTTACTGGACAACAGTGTCCCCAAACACAACATGACAGACAACGGAGATCCTGTCCCTACCCTTTGAAGAAAGCTGTCGGCCCTTCCTTGGTAAGCATGCTCATGGCACAGCTGGGCACGCTCAGGTACTGTCCTGGCGGGGAATTAATGAATCTGGTTTTCACCACATCCGCTGGAGACGACATGAGCGTTGCGGAGAATCCAGCAATAAGAGCCGACAGTAAGTGGCAGGGGACATCGTCTAGGAGATGAATGAAAGAAGTCAACATCGGACTGGGGGTGGGGGAGGGCATCCTCATGTCATCTGTCACGTCCTTACAAACCTGCTGACAACGGGAGGTCATCTGCATACATGAAGGTTACACCTGTGCTAGGAAAAGATGGTCACTAGAACATGGATAACGGATGGCAAACGCTCCAGGAAACCAACTCAGGCTTCTGTGTGTCCTGGCCTCATGTCTGCTACGTGGGCATCATGGGAAAATGTGACCCATGACCCAGTGTGAGGTGCAAAGGGCTCTACCACTTCCCCACCTCACAGCATTCTCTTTGCTTTTCTATATCAGCAGCAACGACACGGAGGAATTGGTGGCTTGCTTTCAAGCAATACCTGAAAGCCTGGATGCTGTAGGCTGTAAGAGGGGAGCTCAGAGTACTCTCAGCACTGCCTGGACCGAACACCTGCCATTATTGAACTTGAGCTGCAGTAAGGTTGTCATCAAAGCAGAACTTCAATGTCTGTCTGTGCTGTAGATTCACCCATACTTTTGTTTTTGCTTTTTGTTTTGGTAGGGAAAGCAGTGATGAACTTGCTACAAAATCAGCCTTTCTGGAGAGAGGGTGTGGTGGATAGATTTCCTGAATGCTGCTGTGTTAGGCACAAGAGTCTAACCAAAGTACATACACTAACGTTAAATGAGAATTATGCTGATATAAAAATACAGTTGCATTTAATTTTTTTTGGTAGCAGCCAAAAACGTAGTGTAGGCAAAAATGAATAGGGCTCAGTTTTTAAAGTTTTTTTTTTTTGCATTTCTCAAAAAGTGACATTTCATGTACAAAAATTGCTTTAAAAAATAACCGATGTGGCCACAGATTCCCCGAGATGAAGTTATAAATGCGCAGACACGTTTGGGATGAGTCCACACGAGGAAGTTACCTGCTAGGATTTTGTTTCCCACGAAGAAATCCTTCACCAGGTCGTAGGTCACAAGCTCTGTGCAGTTGATGATGACGCTTCTCAGCAGGTTAGGTGAGGTCCCTGGAGAGAAAACACCACGGGCTCAGTCTGGTGTGTGACGCGGGAGTTGTGGTGATTGTGTCGCCCGCCTCACCGTGACTTACCTTTCCAAAGCGTCGACAGGCTCTCTTTGGTGGCGATAATTCTGTACGCGTTGTAGGTGCCCGTGTAGCGAGGCTTGAGGCCGTGGAGGTGGCTCTGTGCTTGCATTCGGACCTTCACCACCTCCGTGGGTTGCCCGACAAACACGGCCACGCTTCCGGTCATCAAGCCAGCTAAGATCTTGTTTCCCAAACTTGGTGGTTCTATCCAGAGAAAGAAAAGACAAAAACGGTCAAGACCTCTAATGCTCCCACATTTTAACTCTGAGTGGTTCAGAGTTTTCTATTCTTCTATCTTTCTACTTCCCTCATGTCAGTTGGAGATAGACTAGATCATAGCTGGGCTGCACAACATTGATTGAAGCGCTTTGAAAATCAGGGTTTTCAAGGTGCAATAAGCCATGTCTCTGTGAACAGTGGCCTAGTCCTTCCCAGAATTCATCTGAACCCTCCTCTGTGGTTAGCGGTTGGAGTCAACCTTCCCCAGCAATGTCACCATGTTGCCTCTTCTTCCTGCTACCAATGATGGCACGGTTTATTGGATTCATTGTTAAGGACAGCCCAGTGAACAAATTGCCTTAATAGGGGTTTCACAAATCAATTTGCAAGGCTGGGAATGAGGCTCAGTAATAGAGTGCTTGCCAAGCACACATGACGCCCTGGATTTAATTCCTCAGTACCACATACACAGAAAAAGCCACAAGTGCCATAGTGGCTCAAATGGTAGAGTGTTAGCCTTGAACAAAAGAAGCTCAGAGAAGCTAGATGCCGGTGGCTCACATCTGTAATCCTAGCTACTCAGGAGGCTGAGATCTGAGGATTGCAGTTCAAAGCCAGCCTGGTCAGGAAGGTCTGTGAGACTCTTATCTCCAATAAACCCCTCAGAAAACTGGAAGTGGTGCTGTGGCTCAAGTAGTAGAGTGCTAGCCTTGAGCTGAAGAACTGAGACACAGCACCCAGGCCCAGAGTTCAAGCCTGAGACCAACCAAAAAAAAGAAGCAGCAGCAGCTCGGGGACAGTGCCCAGGCCCTGAGTTCAAGCCCCACAACTGACCAAAAAAAAATCAATTGCATACTTCTTTTTCTTTCTAGACAGAAAAGCTCCAATTTGAGGAAGAGAACATGTGCAAGTGCTGCTGTTTTTCTTTCCAATTTGTATGACAACTACTACCTTGTATGGTGCTTCTTTTTGGGGGCTGGGGGGGGGGAGATCTGGTGCTGTGGATGGAACCCAGGGCCTTGTCCACTAGGTAAGAGCACTACCACTGAGCTACAGGGGCCAGCCTTGCTTGCTAATTCCCCCCCAGTACTGGGGTTT